TCCCTTTCTCTCTCTCTTCTTCTGGTATCCCTGTAATGCGAATATTGTTCCGCTTGGATTGGTCACACAGTTCTCTCAATATTGTTTCATTCTTAGAGATCCTTTCTTCTCTCTGTGCTTCAGCTTCTTTGTATTCCTCTTCTCTAGATTCTATTTCATTTATCGTCTCCTCCACTGTATCCAACCTGCTTTTATTACCCTCCATCGTGCTCTTCAACGATTGGATGTCCGACCTGAATTCATTCCTGAGTTCTTGGATGTCTTTCCATACCTCCATTAGCATGTTGGTGATTTTTCTTTTGAAGTCCCTTTCAGGAAGAGTCACGAGGTCCATATCGTTTAAATCTTTCTCAGGAGTTGTATTAATAATTTTACTCTGGACAAGGTTCCTTTGGTGTTTCATGTTTGTATATGGCGCCCTCTAGTGTCCAGAAGCTCTATTCTGGATCTGCTCAGCCCCTGAAGCAATGTCGGGGGTCAGAGGGGAGCGGTACTGGTGCCTGGGGGGAGGAAAGAGCTGTTCCCTGCTTCCCGGCTGCTGTGCCTGTTTCCACTGCCTGAGCCAGTGGGCCGGTCACACTGGTATAAGTTTTTGTCCCAGAGCAGCTGGATATGGATCCCTGCTTTCCACAAGCAGCCAGAATCCCAGTCTCCCCAGGAATTCTGCCTGTATAAACTTTCCAACCCAGTAGTCATGCGAGTCTCTTGGAAGCCACATGAAATGTAGGTTTGTGCTCCCAGAGCAGATCTCCGGAGCTAGGTATTCAGCAGTCCCAGGCCTTCCTCTTCCTCCCTGTTCCATTTGTCTTCCTCCCCGGGTGAGCTGGGGTGGGGGAGGGGCTTGGGTCCCGCAGAGCCGCAGCTCTGGTACTAGTCCGGTTCACTGAGGTCTGCTCTTTTCTCCAGGTGTGTGCAGTCTGACATTGTCCTCTTTCCTGTTGCTCTCTCAGGATTAGTTGCGCCAACTATATTTTCTAATTGTATCCAGTTTTAGGAAGAGGCCTCTGTCCCTGTCATGCTGCCATCTTTAATCCTAATGGATGAGTTGCTGTCTAACCACACTCTTTTTTTTTATTTTATTTATTTATTTATTTATTTTTTGAGAGGGCATCTCTCATATTTATTGATCAAATGGTTGTTAACAACAATAAAATTCTGTATAGGGGACTCAATGCACAATCATTAATCAACCCCAAGCCTAATTCTCAACAGTCTCCAATCTTCTGAAGCATAACAAACAAGTTCTTACATGGTGAACAAGTTCTTACATAGTGAATAAGTTCTTACATGGTGAACAGTAACCACACTCTTTTTGTTACCACAACAGAAAAAGGCAGAACGCCCCTTCATTACCACCAGCCAGTTGGCAGGAGCACTGCCTTCCTCTGGCCTGCCACCACCGTTCCCAGGCGGGGTCGCAGCCTCTGCAGCGGAAATCCTGGGGACTTCGTCCTGCTGGCTCAGCTGGGGGGCCGAGGAGTGTTTTGCAAAAGCTGTTTATCTAAATTCCAAAGTAACAGTGGAGGCTGCCTCTCTTTTAAGCTCTTCTCCTTGACTCCCACCTACGGTTGCAGATGAAGCCTGAGTCAAGGCAGGCCCTCTTCCACGTGGCTGTGGCCAGCAGCCTCTGTGTGACCACTGTCTACACAGGTGTTTTTGAAGGTGTCGTCATCCAGGTGGGCTACGAGCACTATGCTGAAGCAGCGGTAGCCAGCCTCCCCACCTTTCTAGCCATGCCCTTCAACTCGCTCATTAACTTGGCCTACATGCTCCTGGGAGGGTACTGGCTGCGGAGGAAGGCCAGTGCCCCAGGGCACCCCGCAGCTGTGCAGAGGGCTCAGTACCTGAAGGATGTCTTCGCTGCCATGGCTCTGGTCTATGGCCCCGTTCAGTGGCTGCGCATTGGGGTGCAGACGCACTCTGCTGCTGTGCTGGACCAGTGGCTCACCTTGCCCATCTTCGCGTGGCCAGTGGCCTGGTGCCTCTACCTAGACAGGGGCTGGAAGCCCTGGCTGTTCCTCACCGTGGAGTGCCTCTCCCTGTGCAGTTACAGCCTTGCCTTGCTGCACCCCTATGGGTTTGAAGTTGTGCTGGGCATGCACATGGCAGCCGCAGTGAGCCTAGCCCTCCGTGCCCACAGGCGCTATGGCAGTGGCTCCTCAGGAATGTACTTGGCTTTGGGCATGCTTTCCTGCCTGGGCTTTGTGGTCCTCAAGCTGTGTGACCATCAGCTTGCGAGATGGCATCTCTTCCAGTGGCTCACCGGCCACTTCTGGTCCAAAGTCTGTGATGTGCTCCAGTTCCACTTTGCATTCTTATTTCTGACAAATGTCCACACTTGCCAAAGACGCGCTCCTGAGGGGAAGATGCATTAAACTGAAAAGAAGCTACCTAGAAAGAGTGGCCCCCACCCTGCGACATCAAAATGGACTATCAGATGACATTCTGTCATCGGTGTTACATTTAAGATTTATGATGATGATATGATGGTTACATGGAAGATTGTCCTCTGAAGTTATAAGCTACAGAATTTAGGGGTGAAATGTTGTGCTCTATGCAACTTGCTTTCAAAGAGAGTAAGCAAATATCTAGGTGCAAGGGAGGTGCTGGTGCCTTGTACTCTTATAACCTTTCTGTAGTTTTCAGTTTTTCAGAATAAAATGTTGGGGGGAAACGACCCCAAGAAATCCACCACTTCCAGTTGGAGAAAAAATGGTTGTCTACAGTAGCTCTGGGATTTCGGTGACAGCTGGGCAGGGTATCTTCTGGCCAGTGTGCCAGGCCTGGCAGTGGGGTTACCAGTGAGGTCCCCAGAAGTGACTGGGTTCAGGGACACCTTGTCACATTATACACATGCCCAGCAGACTGATCAGGAAATTGGAAGGCCAGAACAATAGCTCACTGTGACATCTGTGACTGCCAGAACATCAGGTCACATGGAAGCCACGTCACCTCAGACCCTTTGTGAAACAAGGCAGGGTAGATCTAGATGAAGGAACACACACAAATGTCAAAAGCTGAATTCTCAACAGAATCTCTCTGGGTGATCCACTCATAGAGCTGGGTGGGGCTTAGATATCCTTAGCTGCTAAGGTTACTGAACTGTCATGTGTCTGTCACCATTGGGGAGACCCAGAACATGGTCTGAGCAAGACCTACATCCTTGTCACCCAGGTCCTTAGGAACCATGATCTCCTGATGGCATCTCAGGGTGGGGCCCTGGAATTGGCATGTACAAACCCCCTAGCAGATGACATGTGTGAACCAGTGAGCCTGGGGGTGACTCTGGGACTGAAGAGATGCTGAGGATCCTGCCTTTGGGTCACCCCTGCAAACCCGTGAAGCCCAGCTACCCTTGGCATTCTTTCTTCCCACTTATTAATGTGTTCTTAGACACCTGTTTCATCCCGTCACCTGAAAGGTGTCTGGTCTTTAAAGACAAAGGTGAAGGCAGAGGAGAGAAGGATGCCCTGTCGTTGCTGAATGGCATCTCAGGGCGACCTGCCCTCCCTGGGCCCCTCTCCACAGAGCCTCATGGCAGCCAAGCCATCACCTGAAGAACGTGGTAGATGAGGGCCCATGAGCACTGCACCTCCCCCAGGGCGTGTGGGGGGAGTCGAGAGCAGAGGTGGTGTTCATTTGAGGAAACAGCTTTGTTCCATTACAGTCATCTCGGAGGCTTTGCACCCTAGAAGAGGAGAAAGGCTATGGGAGTCTCCAGAGAGGCTGCCCTTTCCCCAAAGAGGCCAGAGAGAAGGGAGGAAGGCGAGCTTCCTTCTTCATTCCATGCCTTTGAGCCACAAGCACCCATAACTTCTCTTTTCTTTCTACCAATACCTACATAATAAATAGCTCCGAGAACCTTCTGGTTTTCATTCTGTGCCTGTGTCAGGCTGGATGTCCACAGGAAACAGGTGGCATTCAGGGTGGTCTCATGGAGAACTGTGCACACTACCTTGCAGGGCGGGCACTGGGAACCTCTACCACCCCTCGCCCTGGGGAGACTCCACCCAAAGGAAAGACTCACGTGGGAGAGACAGCGTGGGCGGGCGGAGACCTCCAGGAGCCCAGCCCCACTCTCTCCTGCCAGGCGCCCATCCAAGGTTGTCAGATGAAATACAGGATGACAAAATGTTCTGGTCCCTGTGGTGCCATGAGACATGCTTATACTAAAAAATTGTTGTTCATTGTTTTTCTGAAATTCAGATTTAACTGGGTGTCCTGTCTTTATTTACTAAATTAGACAGCTCTACATTGAGCTAACCCAATCAAAGCCAGAGGCCTGGAACCTTCTCTCTCTGCTCCCTCGTTCTGACCAGTGTTGCTCCAAGTGTGGCCAGCCTGAGCCATGCAGCTTCCTGAGTGCCCCCCCCAACTCTGGCCCTGGGGAGTCCTGGCTTCTGGGGCTGAGACCTCCCCCCACCTCAGCCCTGCCCCGGGGTTCAAGGGTGTCAGCAGTGTTTGAGATGCTGAGAAAAGGGGCTGGTGGCTGTGCCCACTCTGGGCACCCCGGGCTCTGCTCTGAGCTCTGCAGCCCTTTTGGCCACAGGGCGTCCGAGGGGTTCTTCTGCTCTGCCCCCTGCCCACCCCGTTTGTTCACTTATTGTCACTCTCCTCATATCCAACCTGCCCCGAGCAGCTGAGAAGGCAGTGGTCAACGGAGGGCTCCTCTCTGTGCATTTGGCCTAATGGGTTAGAGGGTCCAAAGCTGGGAGGGGTCTTAGAAACCATTATTTCACAGAAACAAACTCTATAGAAGTTTGACTTGACTTAAAGTTGCAACACTGAGCATCTGAAACCTAGGCCCAGTGCCTTACTCTACCTCTCCCTGGAAGTGACAACAGTAGTGTCACTGCTGGGCCTCTCCCTGGCTTCCCCATACCATAGCTGCCTCTCATGAAGAGTTGTATTGGTTTGGCTCTGTGTAGGTTGCACAGACTCATCTGCAGGGAACAGTGAGCCACCTGAGAGGACTGTCAGGGATCTGGTGGCCTCGTCCTAGGACATACACGGTGAGGGGTGCACATGCTGCCCCAGGCCTACTGTGTCTTTCGTGTGCATTGGTGATGTTCCTTGCTTGGCACGTGTTGTGCCGATGCCTCCCCAGCTTTCATTCAGTGCTACTAGAAACCCACTGACGTTCATACTTCACATTTCTACCAGCAACAAGAGAGACCCCCCTAGACTCCCAACCACCAGCAAGGTGTTAGCCACTTTCTCAGTTTGCCAGTCTGATGGGGTCCAAGCAAGATGTCATTGTGACTGTACCTCACGTCCCTCCCCCTGTGCAGGTGTTGGAAGTTTGGGCTTGTTCATCAGTAAGTTGCTGGGCACTTTTTCTTCTCAATTTGTAGGAGCTCTTTTTTTTTTATTAAGGTATCATTGATATACACTCTTAGGAAGGTTTCATATGAAAAACATTGTGGTTACTATGTTCACCTATATTATCGAGTCCCCCCCATACCCCATTGTAGTCACTGTCCATCAGCGTAGTAAGATGCCACAGAGTCACTACTTGTCTTCTCGGTGCTATGCTGCCTTCCCCGTGCCCCCCCTTACATTCTGTGTGCCAATCGCAATGCAGAGCACTCTGGGGTGCTGTGATTCTGCTGCTGTTTTGCTCCTTCAGTTTTTGCTTTGTTCTTATGCTCCACAGATGAGTGAAATCATTTGGTATTTGTCTTTCTCCGCCTGGCTTATTTCACTGAGCATAATACCCTCTAGCTCCATCCATATTGTTGCAAACGGTAGGATTTGTTTCTTTCTTATGGCTGAATAGTATTCCACTGTGTATATGTACCACAAGTTCTTTATCCATTCATCTCCTGATGGACACTTAGGGTGCTTGTAGGAGCTCTTTTTTATATTATAAATGTTAGACATAATCTGTCACACAGATGACAGATGTTTTAGTTATCATTAGTCTTTTGATTTCGTGGGTATTTTAAAGGAACATGGTTGAAGGTTTATGTAGTCATATGTTTATATGTCTTTTCTTTACAGCTTTTGGGTTTCTGGTCTTGCTTAATGTATGTCAAATCTTAACATCTATTGCTGCTTCAGTTCTTTTTCATGATAAAATTTAATTATAAAATTATTAAAAATAATTATTATAAAAAGTTTACATTTAGAAATAAAACAGTGCAGCTGCTATCATTGTCAACATAACAGTTTACTAAACTGGCGCTAACTGCCACACTTTGTGATCACGTTTAATGGAAGTGAGGGGATGCTGAAGCCATGTGGCAGGAGGTCACTGCTGCCTGGGAAAGCGCAGGAGATTCTGTTTCTCAGCCCTAAAGATTGGGCACATGCAAGAGGCAAAGCAGCTCTCTCGCCTCTGAAGGTCTGAAGGTCTCTCCGTGTAAGTAGAACTCTGAATAAACATAGACTAGGTGACTTATTTATGGCCTCAGGCAGCCCCCAAATAGTCATGTGATTGGGAGCACCTCTACCCCTGCGCAACGGAGGCTTCCCCCCACTTCTTTCAGCCTCAGTGTCTCACTGCTGAGCCACGCTGCCTTTGTCCTGAGTGTCCCTGGAGGCCCTGCTGCCTCTCTGCTAAGTGACCTGGAGGCTGGGGGGCGCTGCTTCCAGGGCACAGCCCCTGTGGGTCTGGAGAGCCACCGCAGCCTGATGACTGTTTGCAGCCTAGGGCACGTTGGCATGGCAGGTCCTTCGAACCATTTTTGTGTTTTACTTGTCTTCTACCTCCAGCCTTCCACTTTGATCTTTGCCTTATGTTGCTCTTCAGAACCATTGACTTCTGCTTTCGCTTCTCCTTTTTTTTTCTTGACCCTGCCTGACTTCCACGGGGCCTCTGCCAGGCATCTGTGCCACCAGCTCAGCCAGCTCAGGTCTCTTCCTTTGAAGGAGGTGAAACCTAACAGATCACACTGGAGCCTCAGAGCTGGCTCTGCCCTGCTCCCTCCCCAGCATGCTCTCGCCCCTCTCCTATGTGTGGCTACAGGGCACTAGCAGTCGTTCCTACTGTCTTGCATGTGTTGTGACTCTCTATGAATGCACCATGCGGTCCAGATTCTTCTCCTACAGGCTGCAGGCCCACATCAGCGGGAGTGTTTCTTCAGGGCTCCTGGGGTGCCGCCGTCCATGTCTCTCTGCTTATGTGTGGGCGCTCACTTGGGCATCGGCCTGGGCCTGGCACAGCCACATTTCAACTTGACTAGAAGTTGCCAAATCCCTTGTCAAAGGGGTTGCTCAAATTACTGCCCACCAGAGTTCCCATTGCTCCATGGCCTCGCCAGCACACGGCATGATTAAAAGGACTTCCTGTCTGCCCATCTGATTGTGTGAAGTGGAATTTCATTTCCTTCTTGTTTGCCTTTCTCAGCTTAAAATTGAGGTTGTCTGAAAAAACTAAACAGAATTACTGTCTGACGGCACCTCCATTTCTGGCTGCATACCCCAAGGAAGTGAAAGTAGGGACTCAAACAGAGGTCTGCACCATGTTCACAGCAGCATGAGTCGCAGCGGCCAGAAGGTGGGAACAACCCGGGTGTCCATCGATGGCTGAGTGGAGAAAGGAAATGGGGGCTGTCCATACAGTGCGATAGCAAAAAGGAGGGAAATTCTTGATGACATTGTGCTAAGTGAAACTGCGCGCCGCCATAAACAGACGCTGTATGGCTCCACGTCTACGAGGTGAGGGACGTAGAGCAGTCAGAGTCAGA